GCTTGATCTCCTTCCCTGGAAGGTCTAGGCAGGGAGAGGGAAGAACTGTTAGGGCTATAGGACAGCTGTTACTTGGATGACCCCGTGGTAGAATGGCTCAGAGCTCTGTGGGCAGCTGGAGCTTAAATGTTCTCTTTTCCTTTCTCTTTCAGAATATGCTTGGGGCTCTTGAGTGGCTCCCCCGCACTGGGGCCTCCTCTGCAGCTCCCTGTGGGTAATTATTTGACTGAACTATCAGTAATTGAGAGAAATATGTTGAAAGATTTGTCAAATATACATATTTGTAATATGCGTGTGTGCATTACATATTTTGAGGCAATTTGGCGTACCAAATTTAGAATTATTAGGGCTTTGTACTTAGTTGAACCTTTGATTATTATACACTGATCCTCTTTTGCCCTAATAATGCTCTTTGTCTTGCAGTCGTTCATTTGGACTCCCCTGAAGTGTTTGTGACAGCCATGGTGGTCGCTGCTTTCTTTGGGTTAGGATTTGCTTCTTTTATTTTCTCTTATCTTTTTGCTTTCAAACTTTCTCTACCCTTATAGTTGAAAAGTGTTTCTTATAGACAACATATAGCAGGATTTTTTTTATTTCTACCATTTTTTTTTTTTGTGCTTTCTATTTGCCTACATTTTTATGTTTTGTTTTTACTTTATTGCCTTCTTTTAAATTGACTTTTTTCTTATTCCATTTTCCATTTAAGTGCACTGGAAGCTATATACTCTCTGTGCATTCTCTGTAGTTGCTTTGGAAATTTCACCATGCCCAACTGTGGTAGGCTGACTAATACCCCCGACTCAAAGGTGTCCACGTCCTAATCTCCAGGACTTGTGAAAATGCTACCTCACAGGCAAAAAGGACTTTGAAAATGTGATTATGTTAAGAATCTTGAAATGGGGGAATTATCCTGAGTTATGTGAGTGGGCCCAGTTTTATTACCGAGTCCTTATAAGAGAGAGACGGGAAGGTTAGAGGCAAAGAAGGTGATACGATGATGGAAGCTACACTGCTGGCTTTGAAAACAGAGGATGGAGTGTGAGCCAAGTGTACAGATAGTCTCTAGAAGCTAGAAAAGGCAAGGAAACAGATTCTTTTCAAGAGCCATTCTCAGGAATACAGCCCTACTGACCCATTGTAGACCTTTTACTTCCAGAGCTGTAAGAGAATAAATTTGTGTTGGTTTAAACCACTAAGTTTGTGGTAATTTGTTACAGCAGCAATTGGAAACTAATACAGATTTTGGTACCTGAAAGTGGCATGCTGCTGCAACAAATTCATAAACATGTAAAAGTGGTGTTGAAATTGAGCAGTGGGCAGAGGTTGGAAGAACTTTGAGGTGCATGATAGAAAAATCCTAGATTGCCTTGATCAGACTGCTGGTAGAAATATGCATGTTAAAGGCACTGTTGGTAAGGGCACAGAAAGAAATGAGGAACATGAAAGAAAGTGGGGGGAAAAGAGATCCTTGCTATATAATGGCAGAAAACTTAGCTCAGTGGTATGTCCTAAAGTTGTGTGGAAATCAGAATGTATAAATGATGAAATCTGATATTTAACTGAGATTTCCAAGCAAAGCGTTGAGGGTTCATATTGGTTTCTTTTTGCTGCTTACAGTAAAATGTAAAAGGAAAAAGATAGCTGGAAAAACTTATAAGAAAAAAAAGAGGACTTGATGATTGAGGAAATTTTCAGCTTATCCAGATTGCAAAAGATGCTAAAATTATGAGATTCACTGTCAGGCGAGCAGTCCTTGCAGAGAAAAAGCCAAGAGTATGGCTGAACAACCTTTGGCTAGTGCCTTAACTCCTTAAACTAGGCATTATTATTACTGTTTTAAATATTTAATATTATTTAGATTTACTTATATGATCACCAGTTTCTTTGCTCCCCACTCAATCTTGCATTTCAGACCTTGTTTCTGGAGTAATTGACCTCCTTTCTGGAATACAGGCACACCTCTTTTTACTGAGCTTCACTTCACTGTGCTTCGCAGATATTGTGTTTTTTCCAAATTGAAAGTAAGACCCTCCATGAGCAAAAAGATTATGACTCACTGAACACTCAGATGATGGTAAGCATGTTTTTATCAGTAAAATATTTTTAAATTAAGGTACATACATTGTTTTTTAAGCATAATGCTATTGCACACTTAATAGACTACAGTATATTGTAAACATAACTTTTATATGCACTGGGAAGCCAAAAAATTTGTATGACTCACTTTATTGTTATATTCACTTTATTGTGGTGATCTAGAGTCTAACCCACAATATCCCTGAGGTATGCCTGTACACTATTAGAAATTCATTAAGTGAGGATCTGTTGGTAGCAAATTCACTTTTCATTTGAAAATATCTTTACTTTTCCCTCATTGTTAAAGTAAATTTTACAAGGTATACAATTCCAGGTTAATCTGTGGCATATTGAGGGGACTCAGTTGGAATGATTTCCTCCAGAAATGATATGTATTTTCTTTTTCTGGGTATGGGTGAGAAGGAGTAGTTGAGCCTTATAGTGTCTCTAAGCCTTTTGAGTGTGTCTTCCATTGTCCAATGGCCCCCATCATTGTTGTGAGAAGTTGGCTGTCAGTCTAATTACTGAGTTTTGAAGGCATTCTCTTTTTTCTCTCTAGCAGTTTACAGGATCTAATCTTTATTATTGGTGCTCTGTAGTTTCATTGCAAGGTTTCTAGAAATGGAGTTATTTTTGTTAATCTTCCTTCATCTAGGTTTTGAGTTTTGGATCAAGTCTGAAAAATTCTCAGCTATTATCTTTTGGAATCTCTCTCTCCTCTCTTTTAGTACTTTGACTAGACTCCTTTTAGACTTTCTTATTCTATCCTGTGTACTTTGTGGAACTTCTATATATGCTCAATCTCCTCATTTCTCTGTGAAAGTCTCATTTCCAGTTTATTAATTCTCTTTTCAACTATGTCTATTCTGTTGTTTAACCTATTCATTGGCTTTGTAATTTAAATTACTATGGTTTCTTTTATGAAAGTTCTATTTTGTTTGTTTTTTCAAATTTGGCCAGTCATTTGATAGTCTCTTGGATAATTTTAAAATTTTTATTTTTAAAAACACTTCATATATAATACACTTACATACTATGTTTACTAACTCCAATATTCATGTCCTTGGAGGTTTAAATCTATTATTATTTCTGTGGACAATCACTTATGATGGCTTTTTTCCTCATGTGTGTAGAATTTTTTATTATAAGCAAATGTTTTGTTGACCTTAATCTGTGACGTACTAAGGAGACTCAGTTGGGATGATTTTCTCCAGAAAGGATTTTAATTTTATTTTTCTGGGTATGGGTGGGGAGGGAGAAGTTGAACATTACCAACCTGGTACCTTAACTAAAATTTTCAGTAGGTATTTTTGAGTAGTACTTCTCAAAGAAATTCTCAAAGAAAACTATTATTTCTTATTTTCTTTTTCTTCTTTTCCTTTCACCATAGTGGATACAGATTTCCTTATGGATTCCCTTTGCTGACCAGTGGACATTTTTCAAGTCTACTTTTTCACTAGGGAGTCTAGCCCCTTCAAGAACACTAGCTTAATAAGAGAGTCTCAGCTTTGGACCAGTGCATGGTATGATCTCCCACTCTCTTGTGGAATATTTATCCTCACAGCTCTAGGATTCTACACTGCCTGGGTTCAAATTCTGACTCTACCACTCATTGTGTGACCATGGGCAAGTTGCCTAACTTCTCTGTGCTTCAGTTCCTCTTCTATAAAATGGGTGTTAGTAATAGTTCTTCCCTCATAGGACTGTTATGAGGAACAAATGAACTGATATGAGTAAAATGCTTAGAACAGCGCCTGGCCCATAGGAAGTGCTCTAAAATTCTTACACTTACTCTGGGTATCAGGGTGTGCCTCCGTGTCAGTTTAAGACTCACTTATTCAGTTTTAACTCATTAAACTTTTATAAAAATGATCTTGAGGATTTCATTTTCTTTCAAGCTAAGCAACATCTAAAAGTCTGTTTGCTATACTTTATCCAGAGTCTAGTTGAATAACCTAGTAGGAAGGCTTTTTAAAACAACTTAGTCCGTGTGTTGTAGAGACTGAGCTGAAAGGGAACATCTCAAAGCAGGGGCCTCAGTCCCTTAAACATTTTCCACTTTCCAGGAACAGGAAAGGTTAAACATAGAACAATAAAGGGCTGCTTTGTTCCAGGCTCTCTTTAGAGGCATAACCATAAGCCCCACTTTATGCTCCAATGAAAGCCCTCCCCAAACTGCTCTGACAACCCTCAAAGAAAATTACTTATTTCTTCTTTCCTTACACTTATGGCTGTGTACAATTATCTCTTACAATATATGTATCATTTTAGCTCATTTGACCTTATATCATCTGCACATAGTAGTTCTCAATAAGTGTTTGTTAAATGCATAAATGAATGAATGAAAGAAAAAAGCGATGGAGGAAAAAACATGTATGAAGAATAGGCTCTTTCTATGATTTAAAAGTAAAGACGAAACTTCCCCAACTTTACAACATGCTAGATTTTCATGAAAAATGCTAAATATTGTTTAAAACATGGAGGCAACAAACTGAATAAAAGGAAGAAGCTTTAAAATTGGTTGCTTTTGGGGAATAAAACCAAGAGTAAAAAGTGGTGAGTCGGGGATTTATTATTTTTCTTTAAAAAACCATCTGTTCTGATTTTTAACCAGGTACTTCTTGATTTTATTATGTATATCTTGATAAAAATGGAAATATTTTAAAACAAAGAGTCAATTTTGGACCTGTTGTACTCATAGGTTTAGTGCAGTCCTTCTTTTAAAAAAAAATGTTGTGCTCCACAGCCTTGTTGCCAAAGAATTGTTCACCCAAAGCTACTTTGACAAACAGAACTTTGAACTTCAATAAGGCAGCTCCAGTGGACCTAGACTTGGCTGAGCAGGCATGCTGGCCAGGGCCTAAATACAGCTGTAAAGGGACAAAGTCAATCAATTAACTCCATGGTGTACATGGAGATCTCTTGATATCAAAATTTCTTTCTTTACATGCTTCTCCTCTGATCCTGTAGAGATGAAAATTGACATCCATAATCATATTCTACCAAGAGAATGGCCAGATCTAAAAAAGGTAATGGTAATTAATTTGCTGGATTATTTTTGGAACTTCTCCAAGGTTTCTCAATGCCTCTGTTATAAACCTAGCTCTTCTTTGAGGAATTAGATGTTAAGTTTCTCTGCTTTAGGAATGCTTTATAATTATTTGGTAGCTCTGATTTTCTAGTTTTTAAAAATAACTTTTATACTAATTTTGAAAGAACATTGATCAAAGACGTGCTTTCTCAAAATCCCTTTCTCCCCTTAAATGAAGCATTCTTTAAAACTTCTGGATAATTTAAGTCAGGCAGTTTTACTTCCATTTGAATCACATATTCAGCTGCTAGGAAGGGAAGATACGTGCCAACTACAGGATTTAAAGTTACAGTTTCAAGTAAGAGACTATTAAAAAATGGAATGTCATAGGCTTCCGGGATTTCTAAAACATATCTCCTTTCCAAAATGTTTAAAATAAGGTTTAAAAGCACCAAGAGATAACTTGTGGAATTTTTTATAGTCTATTTTAGGATACTGCCTGAAACCTTTCCTTTTTGATGTTCTTTAAGCTGTAAATCCCTGTTATGAACAAGAGAGAAGGAATATCAAAAAACCCTAGAGGAAATGACATGCCGCCTTCACACAATCAGGGTCTCTAAAGACTCGTCTGTGTTTCTCAAAAGATGGATATTTCCTCTTGTCATTAAGAACTTTTGAATGAATAACTGTAATTCTGAATAAAATCATTAGGAAGGTGGGAGACATGAAAGAAATTTAAAATTGGTTTCAGTTTTGTTCAGGCTAAATATCGGGTTTTACCCAATCTTAAACCTTCTCTAGAACATTCACATCATCGATATTTCACCTTTTTATTCCAAGTGAGGAAAATGAATTACAGTGGTACCTCAGTTTTCTAATATGATCCGTTCCGGAAAACCATTAGAGTTCTGAAACGTTTGAAAACCGAGGGATCCGCAGCAGACAGCTAGGCCTCAGGATCTTGCCCTCAGCAGAAGCCACATGGCATGTTCGGCTTACGAGGCGTGTTCGAAAACCAAAGCATTTCCTCCTGGATTTACGGCATTTGCAAACCAAAATGTTTGTCAATGGAGATGTTTGAAAACTGAGGCACCACTGTAATCTAAACTCTGATTAAATGGTGCAAGTAGCTGAGGCTATTTTCTTCTCATAGTTGTCTCCTGGAAGAATGTTAACCTTAGTGTTTCTTTTTCATCGTTATTTTAGGTAAGATAGGTGGTAGACATTGTGGATTAAAACATACAAATGATGCTGAATTATCTTTGAAAGACTGTCCTGTTACAGCCCAGGGTAAAAGTGAACCCCATCAAGCTCACCCCTCCAAAAGGAGTCTGAGTGCCGACTTACTGTTCTGAATACGGCTGTCCTCGTCATATTTTATTAAAGTGTAAACACCACTTCATAATGTCAGTGATGATGGCCTAGGGCAGCCTAAAAAGGTGCCTCCTCTGCTAAGGGGAGGAAACTATTTACCTAGTGTCTTGTGCCACAACTCTGCCTCTCATTGCTTGTCTCCCACCCTGAAGCCTGCCTCTAGCGTAAGCAGAGAACTGGTCACCAAGAACTGATCATTCCTAAGTGCCCCCCAATGCAGGGCCCTAAAATATTGTGAAAACTGCTCAGGAAGCTGAGGGATGCAGAGCATGGGGAGGCTATAGCCATAAATGGGTGCCCTGGAGACTCAGCAAGCACAGCTTCTGCTGGCTCTTTAGCCCACCTCCTGGTCCTATCTTCTAGCTATTGCCTCAAAGAGGGGAGGGGCGTTTTGTCCTGATAAACCAGGCTTTTATCTAGCAGTCTCACAATATGCAAGCAGATAATGGATGTACTTGATGATGGTGGTGGTGGTGGTAATAATAATCATAATACTCTTATACTTCCAGGGAGCAATGTAATTTGATCCACATAAAATCTTGTGAATCTAGAATTTATGGGATTTATATTACTGACCCTGCTGGAAAGATAGAGTACCAGACACTCAGGAAATAAGCCTCAAATCCCAGAGCTACATGGGACTATGGTGGCTCCTCCCCAGCACGACCACCACACCCAATTGAGAGAGCTGGCCGGGGAGAATAGCACTGCTATAAGGGATGTCCCTGCTTCCTTCTGCCCCCCATCCAGTGTCTCCCTCAACACCAGCCTGCTCCCAAACACCCCAGGCCCACCTAGGGCTTTATGATGGGGTCATTGGAATCTGGCTTCCAACTTGCAGGTCAAGCAATCAGATCTGTTATATGGAAGAGGTTTCCATTTGAGTGCAGGCAAGCCAGTGACGAAAGAACCAGCAGAAAACAGTTCTGTGTTTTCAAATTGGGAGGAGTGAGATGAATAAAAATGCATGAAATGAGGCTGGGTCCCTTCTCCCTCTCTCCACAGTTTCAGCTTATGCAGTCAGAGTAAAGTAAGTATTAAAGTGACAGCAGCTAACAGCAGATCTTCTTTGGTGTTCATATAGTTTAAGAGTTACAGCAGATTTTCCTTGGTCTTTCAATTGTTTCTTAGTGGGTAAAATATTTCAAAGCATCAAACTCTGATCTTTTCTCACCGTTTTTGCAAACTTTCCAAAAAAAGAATGAAAAGGGTAAACCAGTACTAGTTTTAGGTCAGAAGAAGAAGCCCATCTGGAAGAACAAGTATCTCTTTTCAAACCTGACCTTTTATTTTATTTACTTTTTTAAAAAATTAAATTTATTGGGGTGACAATGGTTAATATGAACATACAGGTTTCAGGTATGGGTTTCTATGTTACAAGATCGGTATATTGCTCTGTGTGCCCACCACCCAAAACCTACCTGTCTTTTATTAAATATTAATAGATACACCTCGATAACCTTGACCTCCTTATGTAACAAAGAAACAGAAGCAGAATCAACATGCCTGGCTTGATGATTAACTAATCTTTACAAAAGACGGATTTGAGAAAGCTTTTCATTTCCATTTGCTGATAATGATTTTAGTCAGAGTTATAATATAGATCTGCAGATGGAAAGAGAGCAAATTCAGAGGGCACTTGATTAAGTTGTGTTTCTAATGAATCAGGACCCACACTCTCTGCTGTCACAAGTAGGAGGATGGTGGCTAGAAGCCATGGTGGACGTTGTTTCATAAAAATCAATGGAGATAATAAGGTTTCAGCTTTTTCCTTAAGCAAGACTCTACTGACCACCAATTATATGCCTGATAGTAGGGCTTGCAAAGATTCTTCTAGTTTTAAATGGAGTAAAAAAATTCTGGCCTTTGATAAAAAGTTTATATATTTATATATTTACATCTTTTTTTGTTAGCAAAATTTAATTATACTTGATCACCGTAAGATTTTAGGAGACAAAAATCCCAGACAAAGCTTCACTTTGAAACAACCTCTGTGAGGAAATACAAATTTGGTCTCCTCTCTAAGGAGGTTCATCATTCACAATACGAAAGTGTGAGGTCCCCAGGGCACTAAAAATGTCATTCAGTTCCTCAACCTGACTCATAAATACCCACTTCACAATCACATCTATTGTATATAGAACTGAATGCCCTTGAATTTTCGAATTTTCTTTGTATTTGTCATGCCCATAAATGCCTATGGGACATTGGTCCTTGTCATCCAAACATCTTCAGACTGTAAATGCCTCCTGGCATATGCTCAGACCAAAACTACTCCCAGGGTCATAAATTTCAAACCACAGGCTTGGTTCAACCTAGGATGAGAGCTGGGGGACTGAACAAATCCCAGACTTGGAACAAAATTAAGTTGACCCAAATAAGTTAGGTATTTGCATGGGGCCTAGAAGAAGCACAAAGTGTTCAAATCTTGTGCTTTGCAAGAGAGGAGAGAGAGGAACACAGAGTGACAAAGGGCTACTTCCTTCATAGTGTTCCTTGGTGTCTGACCCTAGGGTATGCCTTATTTTACCACCTAAGGATAGAATAGGCTGTCACCACTATGCCACCCCCGGGGCCATCACTGCCTGCCACCACTACCAGTACCACCACTGGCACCACCACTGCCACCAAACACCACCACAACCATCACCACTACCAGCTCACAACCTCCACCATTGTCACTATCAGCACCACCACCCCCACCGAAACCACCACCATCACCACTGTTGCCACCACCATATCCACCTCCACCACCGCCACTGTCACTGTTAGCACTGAGGAGGTCCTTTCTATACACCAGGTCTGGTGTCAGTAGCTTTCTATGAATGACCTCAGTTAATTCCCATAAAACCTTATGGCACAGCTGCTGCTGTTAACCTCATTTTACACATAAGGAAACAGTGACTTCCAGATGTTAAGTTACTCCAACCAAGTCAAGTGTCTTCTAAGTGGCTTGTTGTGTGTGACAAGGGCCCTCTGTTCTGCCTCCCTCTGCCCCTCTGCCCTTCCCCAGATGGGATGCTTCCTAACCTGCGAAGGTATGCATGGGTTAAAGTCCCACAGGGAATTAAGAAAAAGAGAGTGAGGACAGAAAGGAGGAGAAAGAGGGAGGGAAAGAAGAAAGATTACATCCAAGTAAGATTTCAATGGTGACTTTCTTCTACATTCAAGTAAGATTTCATGGTGACTTTCCAGTTCAAGAGTTTAAGTTTACCGTGCAGTGTAACTGACGGAGGCCATATTCCAGCCTGTCCTCAGCATACGTCTCTGGGCAGCTTTATCCAGGGGAACAGAAGGCAAAAGCACAAGGATATTGAATGCACGAAGGGGGGGGGGGCAGGGGCGTGCTCAGGCAAAGGAGAAACTGGGTGCAGGGCGGAGGAGCTTGGGCCCCTGGTCCACGATTTCCCTTGCACTTCCAGCCTACGGAGCCAGGTCCTCTGATGTCACTTGGAGAGAAGCAGGTGGATCCAGAGCTAAGGTGATTATTAGGAGATGTAACTCAAGAACAGGACTTATGCTCAGGTAGGATCAAGCTGGTATAGAATTGACCCAAATCTTAAGAAGTCGTTGGAGCCAACCCCAGTCACAGACACAGAGATATGCAAACACCCCTGTGCTGCAGGCCCAGGCCTCCCCTCTCAGTCTGGAGGGGAGGGCAGGGCTAGGAGGAGGGATGGACTAAGACCTGACTTCCTCAAGACAACCTCCCTGTCACGACATAAGAACCAACCACTGTTAGCTGCTCTCATCCAAATAAAACATGTAGAAATTGTACTGATATTCAGCTTCCTTAACTCATCTACCCATCATTGATGACTGGAGCTGTGAGGAGCTCGACACATCATTGTCACCATCTGCCACACCCTCCTTCCCCCCTCTTACATCACAATTTTTTTCTTCCACCTTTTACATCACAATTTGAGAGCCACTGCTTTGGAGCACTGCAAGTTTCTCTCCAATCTGGCCCCAGACTACCCTCTCAACCTCCCTTCCCTGACACCACCTGACCCAAGTTATAGGTCAGAACCCTCCTCCTGGCTCCCAGAGAATTCGTGCATCACTCAATCACAGCCCGTCTCAGACGTGATTATGCTTTTCAATTATTTGCCCACCCCAGCCCCACCCTCTCAGGACTGTGCTCCACACAGGCTGGAACTGCCCTTCACTTTTCTTTTCTCTGCCCTAGTAAGGCCGGTCATGGCGGGACTCCACGAGGGTTTGCAGAATGAGTGAATGAAGGGTGAATGACTGAATGATCAACATGAGATTTTAAAACCTATAGCTACATGAGTCACATATACCTATGTTCTTAGGCAGAGGCTTTCAAAATTTCTTATTCATAACCGCCAAGGAGAAATATATTTTATATTATGATTCAGTACAAACATCCATATATATAATGGAAACAAGAGTTTCATTAAATGAATAATTACACATGGGAGGTGTTTTAATCCATTCCATTCCATTCCATTCCATTCCATTCCATTCCATTCCATTCCATTCCATTCCATTCCATTCCATTCCATTCCATTCCATTCCTTTACTATCTTGACTTGGGTTTTCTAAGAAGCAGACCCTCAGATAAAGATTCAAATGCAAGTAGCTTACTTCAGTGGTGATCTCAAAACACCAGTAGAGTGAGGAAGTGAGACAGGGAAAGCAAAGCAACCAAAGAAAGTGTAGAATGTGTGCTTCACCTCAGTCAGAGCTTTGGTCTCGTGTAGTCAGTGTATTTACAGGCAAACGTCCTGAGTCATTGGTTGAGGACTGCTGAGGGGAGGTGGGACAGGAGCTGTGAGGAGTTACTAGGTTCCTGGTACTTGTAACCTGCTAGAAGGGCCTGACCAAAGTTGATTTCAGTGGCAATGGGCAGGTGGGCACAGAGGTGTTAACACAGGGAGGGAATATGGGTGGAACACCAATGCCATCTGCTACACACACTGTTCTGTGTTTTTAGAACATCTAGGTCACTGTCCACTAAATTGATTTCATGGATTGCAACCTCCAGTTTGAAGAGCAGTGTTCTAATATGGTATTTCCTAAAGAGTGGTCCTTACCGTCCCTGTACTCCTGGTGACCCTTGAAATAGTTTAGGTGGTACGGAAACAAATAATTTTTTAACATAAATCCTCATTTTAAAATTGCAACCTGCATGAGGATACAAGGTAAAACTGGCACTTCTATGATATTTTATTAGAATTTTACTCCTGAATAAATATATTTAAGGAAAGAAAGTGAATTGATTTAAATATAAATATTGAATACGTGATGTATGGACATATGGAAAAATGGGAAGGTGATGCTTGAAAGGATGGAGCTCAGGATTCTTTGCCCTAGAAACGCCCTTTATTGCAGTCCTGTCTGCTTTGCTCTTTCAGTCTAACTGTGCCTCTCCCCACTGCAGAGATTTGGCTATGGAGGCTGGGTGCAGCTCCAACACCACAGCAAGGTGAGTTTCTCCCAAAGTGTGAGCTTGCCTCGCACCCAGGGACATCGTGAGCCCGAGACCTTCCTGCAGGCCTCCACGGAGCTCTCAACCCTTCTGTCATCCTGTTGACTTTGTAGTAGGCAAGGAAGCAGCACTGAAGTTTCTCCAAACTATTAGAAAAAAATGCTGGTAACTTCAAAGAGCAGCATTCAGGAAGATAAAATTAGAATTTGAGAAGCCATTAAGAAACCTTTCTCTGTTTTGCCCTCGAACCAATTTTAGCATTTATCGCTCTGCCTTAAGAAAGTGACATGACCCTCTCCACAAGTCATTATAGTGTATTAAGGCCAGCCAAATAAATGGAACCATTTAGGTTTAAGCACAAGCTAGAGAAATTAAACACTGGAGACCAGGGAGAAGAAGCCACTCTTTGGGTGAGTTGGATAAGAGGAAACAGTGAAAGGAGGCCTGAGAATGAGCTCAAAGTCTAGGGCTGCACAGAGGTCAGCTCTGACTTTATTTTCAGAGGTAGCATGTGCCTGTGTGGAGTTCAGAGGGAACATTCCTGAGCTTCCAGCTGGAACACAGGCATGTCTACGGCAGGCCTGAAAGACTCATGGTCTGGGAAGACACAGTTTCCTGAGCAGGGGTAACGCGATGCAATGTTATAAGCTTAGGACTTGCTGGAGGACACAGATTTGGACACTGTTGGAGAAGTCCTCCTGGAGGAAGTGATGCTCATCTTGAGTCTTGAAGCGGGGGTGAAGGCTTGCCCAAGGAATAAAGGAAACAAGTTTCCAGGAAGAGAAGACAGGGAGCAAAGGCATGGAAATACTAAACTTATGCAAACCCAAAACTCAAGCGCTTGGCTATGGCTGGAACCAGCATTTCTCAAAATGTGATCCCCAGGCCAGCAAGTTCAGCTTCACTTGAGAACTTGGAAGAAATACAAATTCGTGAGCCTCAACCCAGACCTACCAAATCAGGAACTCTGAGGATCCAGCCAGCAATTTGTGTTTTGACAAGCCTCCCATTGATTACTCAAGTTTGAAAACCACTGACCTTAATTACTCATTCACTCACTCCTTTTTATTAACATCAGTTTTGTGCCAGCTCCACCTGTTTAGACATTTAGAAATATATTGGTGAACAAGACAGACATGCTCCTTACCTTCATGGTGCTCAGATTCTAGGGGAAGACAAACCTGATCACTTTAGAGAATGGAATGAAAACCAGTGCTGTAGCAGGAAGGTTAATTGTGGTTGGCTGCACAGGCAGCTAGTGAAGACTGGGAGAAACAAAGGAAAACCTGGAATAGTGACCCTGGCTTGGGGAACAGCAGTTACAGAGGCTACCATATGAGGAATAGCTGTGTTTGAGGAACAGAAAAGAGGGCAATGTGGCTGAGATGTGATGAAAGGGGGAGGTGGTAGGAAATGAGCTAGCGAGGTAGGAAGGAGTCCAATCATGAAGGGATTTGTAGCATGTGCTAAGGAGTCTGGATTTTATTTTCAATGCAATGCAAATTCTTTGGAGGGTCTTAATGGCTTAAAAAGACCACTTTGGCTGCGGAGAATGGACAGAAGCAGGCAAGAGCAAACTGGTGGGAAGTAGCTGAAGAGGTGGACATAAGCCCCATCAGGTGGAGCCATGGAGGCTGGGCTTAGGCCTTTGAACTTGATCCTGAAGGCAGTGGGGAATCATTACAGGGTTTTCAACATCAGAATCTCTGGGAAAGCTCATTCTCACCTTCATCACAGAGCGCCCACTCAGTGCCAAGTTAGACGCTGAGCTGCACTTCTGTGATGAGAAGTGCTGGTTCCAAACCTGGGGGCTAGTGACCTAAGCTGTCCTCAAGCCTCCCCAAGGGAGAGAACAATCTGAGCGGAGCTGTTACTAGGCTACTAGGGAGCCCCAAATGCAGGGACAGGCAGCCTGTGATTTTTTTTTCATTCCATATCCCAGGCTGCAGTCTGTAACCTCGATAATGGATTTGAATGACCTTCATTTCACTTTGTTTTCATGTCAAGAGATTGCATAAACTTAACAGCAAATCTCAAAAGAAAAAAAAGTAACCAAGAAGGAAAATATTTTCCAGTCACATCTACTACCCACATACTTCCAGCAAAATTGGATACAATAGTGGCTAACAAAACACAACAGTGACACTCTCCTTCCTTCTCTCTCAAAAACAAAACAAAGTGAAACAAAACAGAATCTGAATTTTTCATAATTACAGTGGCCAAGGATTACAGTCACTGGAAAACAACATGCAAATGTACACAAATATTCAAATGAGGCTAACAACTTGGGGGTCGAAATTTCCTTTTATTCTCCTACATTCCTTTGGTGAACAAATATTTTCTGTCCCCACGCCTGACTTATCTCAGAGATTCCTGATCTGAAAATGATTTTCCCCTCACTGGGAAGCCAAGAAGACACCCAAATGGATAAAGAACATATAAATAATGATAATTTTGTGCTAACTGAACTAAAGAGACAATAAATAGCAAGGGAGTTCAGGGAGTGAGGAAAGCCGAAGGCAAGGGGCAGTTTTCATAAAAATAAAGAATCAAAGGCTATGATCATCTACTCCAGTGTTTGAAAATAAGGGTTACAACCCAATAGTGAGTCATCAAAACAAGTCAGTGTGTTAGGTAGGACAGCTTTAAAGATAAAATGGATTACAAAAGAAAAGAGCAGAATGCATTGTTCATGGTAAGAGTCAATGCTATTTCATGAAACTGCTGTCCCAGTTTGTAGCTATATAAATAGATATATATGGGTCCGCTGGGTCACAGTGGAAAATATATTTCTGCAGGTGGGGCCACAGCCAAAATGGATTGAAAGCCATTAATCTAGTCCAATGCTGTCATTTCATGTTTTTATTTTGAAGGTTAATTTTTCATTACAAAAGTATTACTTCAATAAATTCTCCTTTTAAAGTTTAAGTTATTGCAGATAAAACTACAGTTCCCTTGGATCAGCATTCCCCATCCTCAAAAGTAATTCCTATTAACAGTTTGGTGGGTATCTTCCCAGACCTTTTCCTATGACTTTACTTATGTATACAGCACCTATAGAAACACAGAGGGCCCAAGGGCAATCTTGAGGCCCTAAAGCTCCACCAGAGGTGGTGTGTCCTCAGAGCTGGGGACACCAGGAGATAGCCCAGTCCCTAGTTAGTCGTGTCATTAATAACTAATACTTAGAATAACTAACAGTTAACGTGTCAGATACTTAACTACATGCTCTATATGGATCCTCCCATTTTATGCTCACAAGATCCCTTTAAGGTAAGTTATATTATTTTTTTAAGATAAGTCATATTATTATCCCTATTTTAAAGATGGGCAAACTGGGGCTCAGAGGTGTTTAATTTGATCAAGGCCACACAGTAAGTAGTAGAATGGGGACCTGAACCTGAGTAGTCTGATTTCAGGGACCCAAATCAGAACTTTTCCCTTTTCTTTAGGGATCACAAACTGCAGGCCCGATTTAGAAGCCACTGCCATGCTTCTGTACAGCCACTTACCTTGGCCCCCTGTGCTGAGTAATAAAAGAGAGTGTACCCAGGCAGGCGTGATGCCTGGTGGGAACCAGCAGCTCAGCCCCAAATTTTGTGCATGCTGCCACGTTGATTCACTTCATTGCCCACCTCCTCCTGCAGGTGTTGACATCAGTGGCCCTGCTCTGCTAGACAGATCACTTATTCTCACTATCCATCTGTTGCTTCTCTATGAAACAAGAGGGCTGGACTAGATGGTCTATCTCAGAGATCCTTTTCAATTCTAAAATGTTAGAATCTGGAGTTTTCCAGACACTGGGCCTTCCTCTCAGGGCTTGGAGCCAGTGTTTCAGATAGACAAGGTGGCCAGCTGTCCTCAGTCATGAAGCCCCAAAAGGCCATGACCATGGCCTTGTTTGTCTCTGTCTACTGATACTTACAGAACACACTCCTTTAACTCCAGGCCAATATTTAGGCATGAGGATAAAAAACTGAGTTCTGCTGAATGAACAGACTCCTATCTCTTTGAGGATTAAGTAAAAACCCCTAAAAATGTTAGGAGAGAGCCACATTCCAAAGCATACAAGAAAGGATTATCCAAGTAAACTTAGGTTAACTTTTGCTGATGTGCATCTTCTGCCCTAGGGAGAAGCAAAGATGCTGAAGGATGGGAAGGTTTTCAGGGTGATCCAAGAGAACTGCTGGGATCCAGAAGTCCGTATTAGAGAAATGGACCAAACAGGTACTTAGGATGAGAGATGTGACCAGTGATTGCATCTGATATAAGAGCCATATCTCTCCCTAAAGTCTGTTAACCACGTTGCAGGGTTTATGTGATGGTAACTTCTGATCACCTTTTCTCCACTGGGCCGACTGCTCCAGCGTCGCTGAGAGAGGGATGGGGCCTTCTACCATAATGGTTTTAGTGTAGATTAAAATTTTTTAAATCAGGTATACCTGTTTTAAAGTAGAATGCTATATCATAAAAATATAAATGTGGTATTTTATTATTTTAAAGCCTTTTTTTAGTTCAAATGTATAGTATTTACTTATTATAGAGTCAATTTAAAAAAGTAAAAATTAGAATTCAGAGTAAGGATGACAATTTCCTTCTGAGTCAGATTCAGGATCCAATTTCTTCCTACACTTTGTCCCAGTGCACAGTACACACAAAGTCCCTATTCGCACATAAAGGGTGGAAATGAGAGCAGTTAAACAGCAAGTTAATTGTGTAGTCTCAGAACAGTCTACAATGAAACTAATTCAGAAATTTCAAAGAGGAGAATTGGGAAATTTTTGTTTCAAAGCCGAATCACCAACAATTTCTAAGAACTTCTTTGCATTCCTTACCTTATATTTAAAAAGTAAACAAGTTCCACAATTTGAATTTTAAAGACCATCTAAAATATGGCCTGATGGCCACATTTAGAGTAAAACCTTGCTCTTTGCTGAGGTCTGAGAAGCTTGCTCTTCCTCTAGCTCCCCTCCCACCACATACTTCTAGGCCAGGGGCATATACACTATTACCAACTTTGCCTTTCTTTGTGTCTGTGTCCAGGAGTGACCGTGCAAGCCCTTTCCACAGTTCCTGTCATGTTTAGCTACTGGGTGAGTGTGAAACTTCAAACCATCTCCTTGGTGGGCAAAGGCTCATGTCTAGCAAGTAGGTAGATGACTCATGTCTTGACATTGCCCCACCTCCCCTCCATTCTCCCCTTTAGAGATCAGTGCGGTTCCTCAGCTTCTCACACTGCAGTGCGCCCTCCCAGGCCTGTCATCTTAGTCCTGTCCTTGCTCTAGACCCACCTGGTCCAGCACAGTAGCCAGTGGCTGCTTGTCGCTATGTGACTCGAATTCTATTCTCACTTGACAGCGCAGTTCTACACCCAACCTTAATTTCCATCAGAATTTACCTGTCTGATGACCCATCCCTGCAGCGCCTCACTCAGTAATTAACAAGCCAGTTTAGCCTGCAGTGATAATGATTTTGAAGTGGGACTGATAATAAAGGCCTAATATGTTGCCTCTCCCAGGGAAATAGCCAATTCAAATGGGATTCCTGGAGTCGGATGCTTTTCCCCAAGTGATTAAGTGTCAAGTGCTAAAGTTTCAGGCATGATCACGCGCCTGTGGAGGACACCTTTGTACACAGCTGGGTGCAGTAGCACCTGCTCAAACCTGTAAATATTCACTTGTGTTGTGATTTAAGGAGCAGTGGAAATACCACCTGCTCACACATATTTCCCCCACCGGTGCTCATAATTCCAGTCCTAGTGATTCAGTTCCTGTGATTAGATTCATGACTTACAAATGCCCTTAAGACCTCAATATGTCTAAATTTATCAGATTGGGTATCATTCCCGAAACACAACTGGGATTGCAGGAGAATACCAAATTCCTGGCAGTGGGGCGAGATGATGTTGAAAGGAAAGAAAACAATGAAGAAGGAAGAGTTAGGGGGAAAGAAAGCAAACATCATCTGCATCAGCATTTTGCTAGGGTAGCTGTGAGTGTCACTGCCAAGGAGAGAAAGGGGGATGAGCCGGGACAGGAGAGGTGTAGAACATCCTGACATCTCACAGTAAGATATAACAAGGAGGTGCCCTGGTGACCTCAGGCCCTCACTAGCCCAGCCTCCTGTAGGGGGGAGAGGGGATTCCTAGGTGTGCAGCCTGCAGGCTCCTGTCTGCAGTGGGTGGGGATGCCAGGCCCAGTAACTATTTCGAATTAATCGGCAACACTAGCAGTTTTCTTTGCATTTGCAATGACTGGCCTCTGGGTCTTCTGCAGTAAGCACTTACCCCAGTCTGTGCCTCAGCTTTCTGCAGGGAAAGCTACTGATAGTGACAGTGATTTCCTAGGGGAGGTGTTGTTCAGAGCCAATAGCTAAAGAAGGAGATTTTGAATGACGTGGTTTTCCTTTACCTGTCCCCACCAGGCCAAACCTCAGGACACGTTAGATCTGTGCCAGTTTTTAAACAACGACTTAGCTGCCACGGTAGGGAGGCACCCCAGGAGATTCGTGGGCCTGGGGACGTTGCCGATGCAGGCCCCGGAGCTGGCCGTCCAGGAGATGGAGCGCTGTGTGAAGGAGCTGGGCTTCCCGGGGGTCCAGATCGGCTCCCACGTCAACGAGTGGGACCTGAACGCGCGGGAGCTCTTCCCTGTCTACGCAGTGAGTGCGCGGCGCTCCATGGGGACCGCGGCGGGCTGGGCGCTGTGCTGGGCGCTGGCGCGAAGACAGATGCGCCCAGGGAGCGGGAGGCCCGCTGACCGCGCAGGGGTGTAGGCGGGGATGTGGCAGGGCTCCCCAAAGGAGCGGGCCGGTCCACTGGAAGAGGGACCAGGGGAACTAGGCCCGCCCTGAGTTAACTCAGGGAAAACTCTTTTCTTTCTAACCCCCATGCTCTCTTTTTAATCTTTCATCTGGAAGCCAAAATGTTACCTTTATCACAGCCACTGTGCAAAAGAACCCTGTTAATGACATACAAAGAAAAGTATTTACTTTTGCTTTGGGGAGAAAATACTCATTTTTCAAAATTATGAAATCATTTTAAAGAAATTGTGGGAAATACAGGAAAATGTAAAAAGGGAAAAATATTCCATAATCCGAAGTAACCCATAGTGTATTTCATTTGTTTTTTTATTTGCCTATATCTATATGCTATTATCCATGTGATTCTGCATCCTAATTGAAAATTTCCACCCTAAATGAAAAGTCTCTCAATCATGATTTTTAAATAACTGCATAATATCCCAATATATGCACATGTTTGGATTTATTTAATCATTCCTCAATTAAGATACTTTTTAGGCCATATATTTTGCAAATGCATAATAAAAATACACAAAAAATATTGCCATCAAAATGTTAACACTTGATGGTGAGTTTATAGATGTCTATTATACTATTGTTCAAACTTTCAATGTCTGAAATATTGCATAATTAAATATATTTTCAAAACCTCAGTGCCATGTATTTCTGAAGCATCCAGCTGAAGTGTCCACAGTTCCATGGTCCTCTCTGCCAGTCTTCCTCTCCCTCCTGTTCTTTCTGCAGATAAACCTGCTTTCCTTAGCACCAGGATTCAAGATGCATAATTCTATATTCAACTGCATTTTTTAATTGTTTACTTCCCTACTAGAATTATGATAGTGTTGTTTCTATTATTTTCATTGTAAATGAAAAGCTTTAATAATGAATTAAATAGATGTTGGTGAACTCCCAGGCTCTATAATCACCGATCATTTATTCATTTATCAGCTATTGAGCTCTGACTACATGGGAAAAAAATTCCCATTTTTGTATCTATGGACACTGCCCACTAGTTGGGAGGTTGCCTGTTAAATTGCCTCCTAATGACCTGGAAGATTTAATGTTCCTCTAAATTTTAAACTCCCTGAAGCTTATTGGCTGCCATGGCTGAGCTGATGCAGTGAATGTTTTCTAGAAACTTTAATGAGCTTTGAAAGAGGCTTTATTTGTTGTGCATCCAAGTTGTTTCAGCACAGTGTGAGCAAACCTTCAGCTGCAAGTCATTTTATTGTTCATTGGAATTGGGTTTATGAATTACTAAGGGGCTCGGAAAGCAGCAGCAGCTAGCTGGTTGGGGTCCAAATGGGTAGTATTTTCATTTGTGTGACTAGCTCGACCCATCCATCATTCCAACTAGGCTATTAGGGGGCTGGGAGCCTTTGAGGGGGTTCAGGAGAGCCTCCTGGCTCCAGCTGACTTACAATGTCCTGGGATTGACAGCACGTTTGTTTGCTTACAAGACTTGCCAGCCTCACTACTTTGCAACTTAGGTTGATAACATGGGGTGAAACAAATCAGAGGGGTAACATGAGCCAAGTTGGCTTCGTCATGTCAAGGTCAGCCTGGAGATCTAGAGCGTCTAACTGTCCACCTTATTTCCTAGACTTCTTTTTTCAGTGAGTGAACCCAACAATACACATTCAGGTCCCTTTTTGGGCACAAAAATGACTTTGTGACAAGTATGAGGCAGACAGAATGGTATTGGCGTTCTGTCTCTCTCACTTACCAGCCAGAAGACCTGAGAAAGTTACCTAGCCTCTATCTGCCTTTGCTCCCTTCTCTGTAGGATGGGAGTAATACAAGTGCTCGTTTCATTTTACTAATTAATAATGTAAAATCCTTATGACAGCTTTGGCACACGGTAAGTTCTCAGTTAATGTGAGTTATGATTTTGAGAGTACAAGTGACTTCTGTTTGTGTTCTCTCCTATACTTCACCTATAAAAGGTGACCAAAAATACCTGTTAATTTGAAATGAATAGAAATGAACCATCGTAGGCCATAGAATCAACCTCTGTACTAATGAGAAGTCAGATCCCACTGAGACATCATGATCATGTGTCTTTGTCAAGCCCAAATTACCCCAAGAAGCTGATACTCTCTTTCCAGCCTTCATCCATTATCAGCTTTATATCAAAAGGTTTATGTCCCTTCTGCTCCCCAGAACCTGTTGAGTTAGAAGTTCTTTTTCCAGTCTACCCTTTGCCTGCCACATCCAGAATCTCATTGTCCCAGAATTGCTTCTCCATTTAAAAAATGCTTATGTGCAGAAGTCCCATTGTATCAAACTAGTTAGCCCACATAGTAATATGTAAAGGTAGGATGAGTCACTCAGCACCCCAAAATATTTGGAAAAGAAATGTGCTAAGGAAAATCTGTTTTGAACCTTGATAAGTATTAATATTCAATGCCTATTGAGGGGACTTTTTAAAATTAAACATTTGTTGAATAAAGGTCATTCCATCCAGATGGTATTTCCATTTCCCAGAAGGCCCTGGTACAGGTTTGCCCATGACCTTCATCTCAGCACATCCCTGATGGAGGCATTGAGAGCAAGAGCTCTTTCCTTTCTAAAGTTATTTCATTCACAGCAGACTGTTCAGGGACTCAGCTGGGCTCCTGAGGCTTTGTGAGAGCTCACAGACTGACCCCAGAAATTCCCACCCAACATCAGGCTCTGAGTGACCCAAAGGCTTGGGTCAGGCCAACCTGCTCCAGCCCAGTCCTGAACCCTTACTCCCAAACCATCACTCCCTCACTTCCACATCCTCAGGTTTTCAAGTGGAGGGAAGAAGGGAACACTCCAGTCCTGACTCCAAAGGTATGATCTGAGCAGTCCTTCTGACAGAGTAGACCAAGAAGGAACCAGCAGGGGAAATCTCCCTGGCATTTGAGGTACAAGATCAGTCCTTAAGCATTTTGCTCTCTGCCAAAACTCTTGAGTGATGGATGTTCTCTGTGACCTGTTTTGCCAAACAATATATTAAATTCAACAACCTCAATGGCAAATCTACAACCCCCTCATTAAATTTATTTTATTTTTTTAAATATATCTTTATTGATTTCAGAGAGAGGAAAGGAGAGGGAGAGAGAAGGTAGAAACATCAATGATGACAGAGTCACTGATCGAGCCCACAACCCAGGCATGTGCCCTGACCGGGAATCGAACCCCGATCACCTGGATCCTAGGTCAACACTCAACGTCTGAACCATGCCCGGCAGGGCCCCCTCATTAAATTTAAGTGTCCTTTTATTTTCCAAGCAGGAGCAGAGTTTATCAATGACTCTTTTATAAAGATCAGAAAACAACTTCAAAAATATTTTGGTTTATGTATTCAGATCAATATAAGCCTAGAGAAAAACAATTTCCCTAAAATAGAACCCTGTATCTGCTGGCTCATCCAAGTAACCCTCTCTCTCGTTGCTTTTTGAAGGCAGCTGAAAAGCTGAACTGTTCCCTATTCGTGCACCCCTGGGACATGCAGATGGACGGACGGATGGCCAAATACTGGCTCCCTTGGCTCGTAGGTTTGTGTCAGCTTGGGGGTCTAGAAAAGAGGATCTAATCTTTGGGGTTTTTCCCCAATGATCTGTGGAACACTATTACATCAAAGAGAGAAAGTATAATTTATTAATAGGGTGGTGTGTTATTGAGCTCTTAGATTAGTGCTGTATACATTACCTCATTTAATTTTAATCATATCCACACAAAACTTTATGAGGCTGACATTATGATAACCATTTCATAGATGGAGAAACAATCTCAGAGTGGTTAGGAACGTTGTCCAAGTCACATAGTTAATAAGTGAAAATGGAATTTACACAGATCAGTCTGACGCCAAAACCACCTTCCTACACAGACTCCCAAAAAGGCTCCAAAGATAAGCAACCTTGTCTTTCTATAGATTTTTTTAGAAGCCAACAGTTGCATCAGCTCTTACAAATGAGAACCTTGGAATTTGGAGTAGAAAGTCACCTTCCACTGCCCAAGGATCTGAGGCACTCCCTCGTGGGCGACCCAGGCTTTCAATTTTCCTGTTACCTGCTCTTCTCTTCTGCTCTTTGCCTCCTCCATTCATTCATGGTCTCACACGAGGGACAGGAAAAGAGGAGAGACCTCCATTTGGCCCATCCAATCTCTCATTATCACCCCTGAGAAGAAAAAGAAATGAAGACAGATTTAGAATCCTGGGGCCATGAGTGAAGAGCGCAGCTCATCTACAAACCCAGGGAAAGGTGGTCCCCGATGAGCAGCACTGGATTTTCACTGGGAGGCGATTATCCATGCCCTTCTCAGCAAATGCAACTAAGTAACCATCATAAAGTGAAGTAACCATCATAAAGAATTAAATGGAGCAATATATTGAAAGTAAAACAACTGAATTTCAGTTCCAGCTAGTCTAGTTTTCTGTGGCAAGTCACTTCACCTCCTGGGGCCCCAGTTCCTCATCTGTAAAATGAGAGAGCTGATTTGGATTCTCTTTCTGCTCTGATATTTTATGCCCCTGGCATTGCCTTTTAGACAACAGTGTATTTAGTAAGGCAGTCTCCTACCCACTCCCCACCAATATTGAGCAGTAATTAGTAGAAAGAGATAACCTATGAAGCCCCGGTGCTTTCCAGCTCCAAAGAAAATCTCATTCTAATTCACATAACACTTTGACAAGTCCTACCAACTTATTTACATGGCAACTTCCCACATGAAAAACAGAGGCAAATATTTGCATAAAGGGTCATCTTATCATTCATTTATGCAATATATATATATTGATGTCCTCTAGCATGTCAGGCCCTATACTAGGAACCAAGGATATAGACATGGACTAAACCTCTGCCCTCCTGAAGTCTATGTTCTGGTTAGAGGGAAAAGACAATAAATAGGTACACAGATCATAAACAAACAAATAGGCTAATTTCAGAATTCTATTCTTGATACAAAGGTGATCATTAGTGGATTGGAGGATTTCCAGCAAGGGGGGGGGCATAATCCAATCTACACAGTAAATATTCTACTTTGGCTCCTGTATGGAGAATGGATTGTGGGGTTATGGTCCAAGTAATTAATGGAAAGCTGAATAACAGGACCAAAAGGAAGTGATGCTGTTCATCTCCTGCCTTCAGGAAGCTCTGCCCACTCCCAGATGAACATGAATCCATCATGCTTCCAGAATTCCCAAGAGGCCAGGGAGCCAGGGGCAATGGGGCAGGTTGAGCATCCACTAAAGCCCCATTAGGCAGCCAGAGAAGCAGGCTTCACCAAAAAGTGCAAGGTTCAGCTGTGGAGCCCCTAGAGATTTCTTAATCACCGTCTGAAAAGCAGTCATCTGAAAATGTAACCTGGACTGACTCCATGGAAGTAAAGGTATCAGGCATGAAACAGCTGCTTCTAGGAGCACAAAGCACTTACAAGAATTCATTTTAACCCAGTGGGGTGTGGTGTGTTTTTTTTAATTTTAGAGAGGGGAAGGGAGAGAGAAAGAGAAAAACATCAATTTGTTGTTCCACTTATTTATGCATTCATTGGTTGATTCTTGTATGTGCCCTGAGCAGGAATCAAACTCGCACTGGTATGATGCTCTGACTGAGCTACCTGGCCAGGGCTTAATCCAGTTATTTTCAACCTCAGCTCTAAGAAGCAGCAACAATTTGGAAGGAATAATAATATTAGTCAATATTTATTGAGCACTTACTAAGTGGCAAGAACTAACAATTATTATCTCCCTCCCCCCCCCATTTTACAGATGAGGAAACTGAGGCACAGGGAGGAAACTAATATTTGTTGAGCACCTCTAGTGTGAGGTTCTGGCCAAGAACTTTCCTGACATCGTCATTTGCAAGGCTCCCCAACAGTCTTGCAAGATGGACAATACTGTCCCCATCTCACAGGTGAAGAAGCACAGCCTCAGGAGCTTTAAATAACTTGCCAAAGGCTGGGAAGCAAAAAAAAAGGAGGAGTTAGGGTTCAGCCCAGACTCATTGTACTCTCTTGCCCCACTATATCCAAAACTGAAGCTGTGGGAATCAGGACAAAAGCCAGGCCCTAAGGCTCCTTGGCTATTCTAGCCATTAGGTGACTCTATCTGCAAGTGGCAAATAGGAAGCATCAGATGGTTCTGCTCACCAAGGTAATAGTCTGTAGACAACCAAGCCATGCTGGGGCACAGCGACCCCACGTTTCTTGCCACTGACAAATACAGCAAGCTGCCATTCCCCACCATGAGCATCACTGAACTTCTTGCTAGAGGTAACAAGCCCTGTACCTCGTGACTGTTTCCTCTTTCAGGAATGCCAGCAGAGACCACCACTGCCATTTGTTCCATGATCATGGGTGGAGTATTCGAGAAGTTTCCTAAACTGAAAGTATGTTTTGCACATGGAGGTAAGACTGCATCTGTACTGGTCAGCTCAGCTTCCATAACAAAATACCACAGACCAGGTCACCTAAACAGAAATGAATGTTTTCATAGTTCTAGAGTTCCAAGATCAAAGTGCTGGCAGGGTTGCTTTCTAGTGAGGTCCCTCTTCCTGGATTGAAGAAGGCCACCTTCTTACTGTGTCCTCACATGGCCTTTACTCCGCGCATACACAGAGCGGGAGAAGAAGAGAGGGAAAGAGGAAGAGATGGAGGGAAGGAGGGAAAAAGAGAAAGAGAGAAAGAGAGCTCTGCTGTCTCTTCCTCTTCTTATGAGGACACCAGTCCTATCAGATTAGGGTCCTACTTTATGATCTCATTTAACCTTACTTATCTCCTTAAAGGCCCTTTCTCCAAATACAGTCAGGGGTTAGGGATTCAACATATGGATTTTGGAGGGACGTAATTCAGCTCATAACATCCTTTCAGTAATCATTCTAGTCATAAAGTATATGATTGTTCAGGGACCAAATTCTATTTTTGCAGACAACTTTAGTTTGGTTGGGAGATTTTACTTTATTTTATTTTGTTTTGTTCTGTTCTGTTTTAAATCTCGCTTGTCAGACTACAAGCTCTCCAATTTGCAATAATCCCTACCATTCACTATTGTTTACAGATAGACCTATTTTATTTATTTACATTTCCTGCTTGGTCCCAGTAGGTAACTGAGTTTGTGACTCTTGAACACACAGACATGCACAATTGAACTCTTCATGCTGCTCTCTAATCTGCTTTTCCTTCTCACCAGCACACAGAGACATCTTTCCAGGTCATGAAAGACAGAGCTTCATCACTTTTGATGGTTGCATGTATGGCAATACACTTTATGGATATGCCATCATTATTTAGATAGTCCCCAACTGATAGGTTGCCTCAGTATTTTGCTACTATAACCACACTACATTTGAAAACTTTGACCACATATCTTTATACACTTGTCTTCTCTTTTTAGGATAAATTCCTCAAATCTGAATTTCTAGATGAGGCCATGTTGTTTCTTCTGGGTCATCTCTCAGCATTCAGAACCCAGTAGGTCCTTTGTTAACCAGCTGGGCTATAGTAACTTCTCTTTGCATACAATACGAGGATTAAAAGGAATCCTTTTCAGCCCTGGACAGTGTGGCTCAGTTGGTTGGAGCATTGTCCTATACACCAAAAGGTCATAGGTTCAATTCCCAGTCAGGTCACATACCCAAGCTGTAGGTTCGATCCCCATGAGGGAGGCAACGGATTGATGTTTTACTTTCACATTGCTATTTCTCTCTCCCTCTCCCTTCCTCTTTCTCTAAAATCAGTTTTTTAAAAAAAGAGAAAAACAAAACAGGAATCCTTTCCAATCTAAGCAAGCCCTCAGTAATGGGTTTTACTTGCAGGTGGAGCCTTCCCCTTTACAGTCGGAAGAATCTCCCATGGATTCAGCATGCGCCCAGATCTGTGTGCCCAGGACAATCCAATCAACCCAAAAAAATACCTTGGTTCCTTTTACACAGACTCCTTGGTTCATGATCCTCTGGCCCTCAAGCTGTTAACAGATGTCATAGGAAAGGTAAGTCGGGTATGCCATTTGGATGGCTTATAGAGAGCAGAGCGCAGGATCAGCAGCCAGTTACTTGGTCTCTCTCCTCAAAAGGGATGGAAGAAAATGCAGGGACAGTAAGGTTTGGGATTAGGCTTGTTTGCACAGGGATCCTATGCAGAACATCCTTCACCATAGAGTGTGTTTCACCAGGGAACCGTTGTATATGCCGGGGAAATACCAGATAATTCAGATGGCCCGGAGTCATGCAGATAAGCTCCTCTTCCTTAAGGTCATCTCTGTACCCATCCAAAATGACACACTGTGATGGAGTAAGGAGAAAAGAACCACCAGTTTTTTGTTTGTTTGTTTGTTTTTAAATATGTTTTTACTGATTTCAGAAACAGGGAGAGAAAGAGATAGAAACATCAATGATGAGAGAGAGTCATTGATCGGCTGCCTCCTGCATGCCTCCCACCAGGGATCAAGCCTGCAACTGGGACATGTGCCCTGACTGGGAATCAAATCATGATCTCCTGGATTCTAGGTCAATGCTCAACCACTGAGCCACATCGGCTGGGAAAGCACCACCAATTTTGAAGTTGGATTGACCTGGGTTAAAATCCTGGCCCTCCCTCTTGCTGATAGGGTAAATTGTGAGCCCAACTGTCCTCATTCACTAAGTAAATAAAACTGGAACATTAAAGAGGGGGGAAATGGACCACCTGAAATTTCTTTCTGAAATAACATGGCCTACATTTTGAAAATTAATCTTTTGTTTGGCAAAAAAGACCAGCACAGTAATACTTTAAATCTCACAGGAAAAAAATCTTTCCTCTCTTATGGTCTGCTAGCTGATCTCTCTGCTGGCGACATCACCGCCCTTCAGTATTCTTTGAAAATGCTAACTCAGCAAGTTAAGACAATTTTAGAGCAAAGGTCAGTCTGATTAGTGAAAAGTCTGAAATAGTATTTCAGTTCTGTTTTATCACTGACAGGTATCTAGAGAAAGTTTCTCGACTTTCCCAAGGAAACAAATATTTGGGGTTTTCTGAAAGAACATGGACATACTTAAAGATTTGAAATATGGTACTTGGATTGAGAGGAGACTCAGAGGCATTTAAAACCTTGTTTAGCCTGGCCGGTGTGGCTCAGTGGACTGAGCATCAACCCATGCACCAAAAGGTTGCTGGTTCAATTCCTGGTCAGGGCACATGCCCGGGTTGTGGGCTCAATCCCCAGTAGGGGGCATACAGGAGACAGTCGATTGATGTCTCTCATCGATGCTTCTCCTTCTCTCTCCCTCTCCCTTCCTCTTTCTCTAAAGATCAGTAAAAACATATTTTAAAAATAAATAAATAAATAAAATCTTGTTTAGCAGAAAAAGAGGCCCATCATCTGAAAGGCACAAGTAGTGTTCTATCTCCAGGAATGGAGACTTCATCTCACTGTAAAGCTGACTGCCTCTCTGGCTGGAGAAACTTGCTAGAACATAAATGTTATACATTCTGGTTTGGTAACAAAGTATGTGGCTGAGATGTGTTTCTGAGCCTTTGAGCTTTTGTGTTGTCCCTGACAAAATGGGTGCTTAGCAGCTGGTTGTGACTGTTCATTGTTTCTGGTTTGGACAGAGGATGATGGTCAGGCGTGTAGGCAGGAAACTGCAAAGAGAAGCCGAAAGAGACTGTGAGCTCTGGACTTTGAGCAACAGAGGAGGGAGAGGGGGGAAGTGGTGTGGAATTTTGGAAAAGGGTCATTTCTATTACCTCCCATCAAGCCTAGTACTCCCTGGTTTTCTTGGAAATGGCAAAATCAGGAAAAAACACCCTTGGCAAATGCAACACCAACCTCACAAGAGACACCGTCAACAGTGAGGGATACTATTAGCATGAGGGATACTTCATACAGCATTCAGGGCAGTCCATGTTGGTCAGCGGTCAGAGCAGAAGTGGAAGACCATGGCAAAAGCCCGTGGACAGACTAGATAGTGAGCACTTCCCTCTTAGGGACCCACAGGAAAACTCAGAGGGCACTTTGCAAAGTTAGTGGTGCTGAGATCTTGCACTCAAACTGTGAAGTTCTGAGCCATTATAATTTGGGCATCCAAAGCAAATATGACCTCATTCTATGTGACCTCACAGGCTAGTGAATCAGGACATATAAGCAGTATATATTAATAATTTACGATTCTCTTTAAAATATTAATGCTTCCTCATTCTAGTTAGATCCATATCAGCAAATCTCTCAAAAACAATCCCCAAACCAAAACAGCTAAGGGAAGTCCTAGCACAGCAGCTGGGCTAGAGAGCCACTGTCCCGACTGAATCAAGAGGATAGAATGCTGTGGAGGGAAGTCTTCAGGATGGGAAAAAAGAACTGATGGGACATTTGATGTGTTTGAGAAGCTGAAACAATGATTGTCACGCGTGGAACAGATCTGTCGATGCATTAGGGACAAACAAGCAGCACGTGCACAGATAATTAAGCAAATGAAAGAAAAGGAAATAATGAACTCCAAGAAAACAAACACCCATATCATGGCAGATAATCATTGTACATTACTTCATCAGCAGCGAACAATATTTACAGTCATAACTGTGTAAATACTAAGTACTGGTTTAACTGAAAATTGTAATTCTACTGGGAAAATGGAGAAAAGTTGGGGTAAGAAATTCTCAATGATTATAATGGGAAGTTGGTAAATACTCTCTAAAGTTAATAAATCAAGAAACAATAGTATATGCTTATTATCTGAAATTATGAGGGGAATTATCACAAGATGCAGTTTAAAAAGGTAAAAGTGGCTGCCTTGGGGGACAAGAGCTGAGAAAGTGGGCACAGGACTGCTTCGATAAAGATATTAGTTATATTTAATTAACTACGTATGGGAATTGGGCTCCACCTTTGAAGGGAGGTGTATCAAAAATTTAAAGACATATTTTCAAACCACCACATTCCACACTCTGGCCACAAATGATTTTTATTCCTCCTCAACGCAAAATATCCTCACCCCTCCTATAACCACCCCCAAAATTCTCATCCATTCACAGCCAGCTTAAAGTCTAGGATCTCATCATTTAAATTAACTTGTGGATGATGCACTCATGTAGTTGGTCTCAATCTGAAGACTATGAAGTAAAGAGACAAGTTCTTTGCCCAACACATGCTCAATATAAAATGGTAAGACAGGCAAAGGATAGTTGCCACAGACTCTCCTTTCCAAAAGGGGGAAATAGAAAGTTCAGACAAGTCACTAGTCATTAGCAAATCTGAAACCCATGAGGCACATGTTGGCAGTTATTGATTATAACTCAAAGCATAGGAATGATTCTCTGTGGCTCTTGGTTCTACCCTCTGAAACATCCCTCTTTTTCCAGGAAAGGTAGCCTATGTTTATGGCTAAGGAGCTTTTCCAGACCACTTCATGACTACAAATTTGGGTGTCCAAGGACCTCTTTTCATTTTATTCTATCTGTTCCTTTCAAACCAAGCTGGTGGTGTTTCTGCTAATACAAATCTCTTAAAAACTTTGTAAGTCTTAGAATGAATCTTATAAGATTTCACACCATTAGGCCTGACCCATGAGTCTCTGAGAAAGCCCTTCTCTACCTTTGGTTTCTTGAAAGGTGCTGAGGGACAACACCATCAAGCTACCTAGAAGCCTTTCTTGTTTGACAGAATGGTTCTGTGAGGCACTGCCTTAAATCTTTTGAGGTCATAAACAAAGATATCATAGTTACATCTTAACTTCATTTTTAGGCTTTTTTTTATTGTGCCTTGGTTTTAATCTTTGCCAGAAAACCAACTCTAATTTTGCATCACTTGGCATTGGAAGGACTGGGACTTTTCAAACCCAACAATTCCTGACTCCTTTATATTTAACAATCCTTCATCTAAGGCACTCTTCTTGCGTGTTACTATAAGCAGCAAGTAGTTGACAGTGCTGCTAATTTTTTTGCCACTACCGAGCAAAGACCTCCTTTCCTCTAGTTTCCAATACCATTTTTCTCACTCTCCCTCAAGTCCTACCGACAGCCTTCTGTCAGGTGTGTCGGGTAAGGGCTGACCGGTCTCGGTGTCCCGTGCGTGACCCAGACCATCCTGCGCGTGCACATGATGGCAACCTTATGTAGTGACGCTCCAGCAGAATGACACTGTGCGTGCGGCTTAGCCTTCTGTGATGACGATTCAGTAGAACGCAGCTGCGTGTGCGACATTAGCGCACTGCTTGCCGTGGTCTCTGTAACCAGCACTGTGCGCAGCAAAGCAAGGAATTGTTCTCTCCATGTGGGCTCCACGGGCCTTCTTTACGCTGGGGATCATGCCTCCGAAACACCCCTTGCAGCCTTCCCTCCCGCAATGCCTTCTCACAGTCCATCAGGCTTATAATAACAGTCTTTACAAGGATCTTTAGTCCTTCCGTATTCTCTAGGTCCTTCCAACTTCCACTAATCAGTTCCAAGTCCACTCCCACATGTTTATGTTTTCAATGAGATGACTGTGGCCCACCAATATCTATGAATCTATTTATATATCTACCTATCATCTATCTCTCATTCTTTTTTTTTTTTTTTTTTTTTTCTCCCCTTTTTTTTTTTTTTTTTTTTTT